AGGAAGATGATTTCCTCGTGGTAGGCTGATTACTCATTGTTATATAGGTCCACGTCGGTGACCCCCCATCTTCTCGTATTTGTGTTGATTTTCGGTTATTATCTAGGCGTGGAGGGATCATCACGGGGTTATTTCGCGGCTTATCGACGTATTCGCCTAAATGGCCCTTTTTAATCAGCCTCTCAATCGCCATTTTAAGTTGTGCACACTCTTCCGTAGTATGCCCTCTGTCCTCATGGAATCGACAATAACGATCCGCTTTTTCTCGCTTTGCGTTTGGTTGCATAGGACGTGGAGGTTATGCTAAACCTTTCTGCTCTATCACGTGAAGGATTTCCGTGAGGCGAGTGTTCAGCGGAGTGAACCTATTGTAGGAGGAAGAGGGTTGGCCTTGAGGTGGTAGTGGTGGAAGTCGATGGTCGGGTGTTTACGGGGTTCGGGGCAACGCCCCAGAATTTTTCTTGTTTCTTTGAATTCTTTAGAATGCTAAAATAATTCGAAAGTCTAACTAATGTAATATAAGCATATAAATATAAATAAGAAACTGATAAACAAAAATCAATTTTTTTTTTCCGGGAGGAGTGGCTCCCCCCTTGGGTACCTTAGTTACCCCCCTGCTTTCATATATCATAACTTACTTTGAAATTTCATATTTCAATTTAATATATAAATTTATTGAGGACAAATTTCACTTTCTCTCTTCGTCCTCTGACTTCAAATTACTTTATCCCCTCGTAGTCTCAATTGCATAGATTTACCCTGTGGACTTGTACAATTGTCCATGTAACCCTTTCCGTCAATTTCCACGATTTTGACCTTGAAGCCGTTAGTCAAGGTCTGAAAAGTACAGAAATGGTGAATTATTTGTTCAACTTCTTTTGTTTTGAGTCTTAACTCTAAACTTTTTGCCTTTAGTTCCTCATTTGCACGTGAAAAATGTTCAACCATTTGCTGAAGCTCTTCGTTTTTTCTTAAGCTCTAAAATCTTTTTGTTGATAATACAACCACAAACTCGTGCTCGTTCACACAAGGAGGATCGACCCATTTGAAAAAATCACAATAATTCACTAGATAATTGCAGGACGTGCATATTCTCTCTGAAAGCATATTGAACCTTAAAAAATTTACCATAACAATTGATTCTATTTTCATTAAAACTAGTAACCATGCCCCGTGCATTGCACGGGGATTATTACAAAAGAGTAAAAAGATAAACTTAATATGTTGAACATAACAAAATAAGTAATTGAGAATACATCACACTAAAAAAAATTGTAAGTAGATGAATTAATAATGTCAAGAACTTGATCAATACAATTAACAATAATTTTCACTATTGAGCAATCACACTAAAGGATTCATAGATTGCCGTAGTCCAACAAACCATCATTTCCCATGCTCTGTTGTTTCTCAACATCCTCAAGATTGACATTTGGGAAAGCCGTGAAAAGTGTATAAAACCAAAACACAATGAAAAATATACTTGATATTTCTATTTTCAAAGAAAATTATTCTATTAGACATCCAGTTATATATATATATATATATATATATATATATATATATATATATATATATATATATATATATATATATATATATATATATGAGATGTTCATACATATTTTACTTCAAACTAAGAGCTCAAAGCGTGAAGTCTTACAATTCAATTCTTTGTATCTTTTCTTGAAATTTTTTTGCATATTGCATATCCCTTTTGGCATTCTGAAAGGTTTGATACTCTCTTAAAAAAATACAGCGTAAAACCAAATATACAGCTATTATGGAAAAGGTTTCATCGAACTAAAATGAGAAAAATAAATTTAAATACAATTATTTTGCAAAAGCTTTAATATGACTGAGTTAAAAAAATTGAATACAAATTCTTAGAAAATATGTTAACCGACTTCACCGAAAATACCTGAAAGAATAATAGGTATTTACGCTCAACCTTTTAGTTTTGTTGATCCCCTGCCGAACAACGATTTGTGAAAATCCAAAGAATACTTAGGCTCAATTCGATGATCGGAAAATTGTAACAATTAAATTTTCGGAATCATTATAAGGTCCTTGTCATTACGAGTGCCAATTCTCAATTTCCAACTTTCTAAAAGTGGAAACCCTAATTCAGTGCACTTTATAAATTTGGAAACTTCCCGATTTAGAAAGTCCACTGAGATGTTCGCCTATTCTTTTCCTTTTCTTGTTCTCATTCATAATTCCAAATTACGAATGTTGGACCCAATCATATTGACTTCCAATCATGCAAAGATAAACCATTTTTACCTTTGACCGTTTATTCAAAGATCTCATGTGCACGAGCAGTGTGACCCTCGATGGTTCAGGTGTAAGCTAGCCAGCGGCCCACAACCCTTTATGGTAAAAACTCGTCCCTTAGAGTTACGATTAAGATGAAGCTCGTTTCACCTTAATCACCCAACGAATCAAGATTGGCGTCTAGCAACTACGCGTCATGATTCCCTAGATACAAATGAAGTGCCTGCAAGAACCTTTTGGTATAGTTAGCGTACAGTACAATCCCTTCGATTCATATGTCCCGAACTAGAGGCATTGGTTCATCGAGACCTCCTTAGTAGTTCAATGGATGTGAGATCGTTCTAAGTGTTGTAATCGTTACGTGCATGACTTAGATAATCGAATTCTCTAATCATCACTTAGTCAGCTCTGGCCAGAAACATGGAGAGATTACAAACTATGAGAACACACAGGACATCCAAGACTATTCTAGCGATCGAATCCCCGACTACAATGCACAGACCTCCCACTAGATTTCGGACCGCACGAACACTGGCCATTGGGGCGGTCCTCGGTGGAACTCAGGGACAGGTCACGATACAGCTGGTCCTCTAGTGAAGTCACGGTGATGTCTAGGTCATAAGGACTAATGGTGTACAACTATACCACATATATCTCTACTCGATTATTGGGAACCACTTAGAGATTTATAGGGTGAGGGAGTTCAGTGAACTCGTCAACTTACGAGCACCCACTTATGCATGCCGATATCACAATACTGTTTACTGATGAGATGCAGTACACATACACTAAGTGCTAGTCTATTAAAGGCCGATATCCTCATTGGTGGCGTAACCCTTCGACTAGGAACACGTTTAACAGTTATAATACTTAAGTAAATATCTCACGATCCTAACGATCAATTACTAGTACCTGTAATAACTGTAAGGGCTATATCTATGCTTGTGACAAATGGACAAGATATAGAATGCCAAGGTGTTTTATCATTAATACGAAAAATGTTTGTTTATTACCATAATAAATATGAAAGACCACAGCCACAAGTTGGCTTGTTGGGCACCTACTCTAACACCAAACAGTAATATTTAGGGGTGTGCACGGGTCGGTTCGGTTCGGTTTTAGCCAAAAACCGAACCGAACCGAATATATCGGTTTTTGTAAAATTAAAAACCGTGTATGTCGGTTTTTTATCGGTTCGGTTGCTTTCGGTTTCGGTTCGGTTTCGGTTTTTTTCGGTTCGGTTTCGGTTTTTTTCGGTTCAAGCGCAACTATATATTCAAGTTGTACAAACAAAAGAATACAATTACAATTACTTTCACAACTTACTAATGCAATGAAAATATAAAATATTTAATTTCATAGAACTTGACGTAATTTATAGATGATGTATTATGCTTCATTTTTTTTTCCTACTTTCATCTACCACATTATTAAAACCATGAACTCAAGTAAATTTTTAATTACTAAATAAATAAAATACAATGTCTCAATTTATGAACAAATGCTTAGAATGAGACAAATAATTGAAAGATAGAAAATAAATATTAGGGTAAAATAATACATATATTATATAAAATGAAGTCATTTTATAGTTTCGGTTCGGTTATTTACCTTTCCACCATACCGAACCGAATAATTCGGTATTTCAAAAATTAAAAACCGTACATGCGGTTTGCTATTCGGTACGGTTTAAAACGGCTCGGTTTTTCGGTTTTTTTGCTCACCCCTAGTAATATTACTGTCTGAGACAGTAATTTAGTAGCCAAGACAGTAATATTAATTAAAATATATTTTTTTCTAAGAAAAAAAATTCAAAAAAAAAATAAAAAAAAATTCAACGCCGGAATCTGGCCGGGAAAAAAAATTCAAAAAAAAAATTATTTTCTGAAAAAAAAAATTTGGGGGTTAATGTGATATATTTGTTTCAATCAAGGGGTCAATGTGTAATATTAAGAAAGTTAGAGCATAATGGATGGAATTGATAAGAATTATTATGGAGGGTATTTTAGACTACAGACATGGGGATGAGTTTAATTGAGAGACTGTTTTTTTTAACCAAAATGCATTTAAGTCACATGTGATAGACCTTTTTGCCATTCGCCCTTCTTATATTTCATAAGAATATTTATGTAGTATGATCCCCATTTACATGTAAAGTTTTTATCTCCTCTTCATTATTTCTCCACTCTAATAATAGTGTCAGAATCTTTTGATGCATATAAACATTAAAAAGTGTCAATGAATCCAACAAAAAATTAACTACTCTCATATTATAATTTGATGTAAAGTTTGGCTCAAAAAATTCCCCTCAACATAATGAAAACATACTATACTACGAATATTCTTCATGTGACAATAATTGCTATTTTAATTGTTAGACAACATATATAAATATATCCACATGAGTCTGTCTGTAACTCTTATTTTTTTATTCTTATTGTCTGCAACTCTTATTGTGGTATGTTATCCATTGATTATTCTAATACGTACCTTATGGCGTAATTCACATCACACAACAACAACATAAACTGCCTAAGTTTATTAATTTTCATCAATAATAATTTATGATAGATGTTAGCTAAACAAATCCATTCCATAATCGTAGTAACTGAAATCATCATCATAAATCCCTCCCTCTAATTCCTCTACCGATAAATTTGATGCAAAAATTTCGCTCGACAAATTCCCGGCCTCAACGGTTATTTCAGCGTAATGAAGTGGTGAGAAATAATCATTTTGGCTGGTGGTATTAATATCTGCCACCAGAAATACATCATCACCCCATAAATCAGCTTCATCAGAGGATAGTACCGTGGAACTAGCATTATTGATAGACGACGAAGCTGATTCGTTTCCAGTTTCGTTGCTAAAAGTAACATGGTCACAATTTTCCTTGGAAGAAGCTAATTCAGCAGTAGTAATAGGGCTTGTAATAATTTTGGGGATTTGGTTTCGGTTAGGGCGGCGTTTATGTATACGAGTGTGCCAGAAGTTCTTGATATCATTGTCAGTTCTTCCCGGAAGGTTTGCTGCAATTGAAGACCACCTGTATCCGTACAACAAACAAAAAAAAAATTAGTTTCAACTCAATCTAGTAACTTGGTCTACGAAAATTACTTTCATTATTCTTTCAAGGCATTTAGGGTTTTTTTTTTTAATTTTATTTATCTTTACACTAAGTCAACCATTTCTTAGGATATGATTTGATCAAGGAATGTGAAATGAGTATAACCAAAACGCAAAAAAAAAAAAAAAAAAAAAAGAAAAATTCATCATTATAAATATATATTAACCTACATCATGTATGTATATGATCACAAGTAATTAATTATAGATCGAAATTACGGTACATACTTTGGTCCAAGCTGGGAATGCAATTCGACGATGAGATTTTCTTCTTGTTTGGTGAAATTGCCCTTTATGACACCTGGTTTCAAATAATTTACCCACCTAAGTCTGCAGCTCTTCCCACATCTTGCCAATCCTATATAGCATTTTATACCATTAAAAACAATTAATTAAGCTAAAAAAAAAATTAATCTAGATTTTCTTGAATTTTAGAAGCTAAAAAGATGTAATAAAAATGTACCAGCATATTTGGGGAGCAATCGCCAATTCCAGTGACCATATCTGAGAATGTAAGACCTCAACTTGTTATCCTCATCTTCACTCCAAGCACCTTTTTTTATTCCATTTCTGTCATAACTACCTTTTCTCACCATTCTCTCTTTTTATTAATTTCCTTTTCTTTAAGTGTTGGTGTAAGACAACCTACTAATAAGCTCACTCTCTCTCTCTCTCTATATATATGTATATATGTATATACAAACAAAGTGCAGGTGTTTTAATTATGATATAAAATAGTAATACTCACATCCATCACATACGAAGCAACATAGAAGATTGGTATTTTGGGAAATAATTTTTTTCGAATTAATTTTAAAAACGTGCTACAAAACAAGAAGACTTTCTTTATTCAAATGACCTCATTAATATTAAAGTATTAGTATAAGTGTGTGGAAGATTTCAATAAGATATATAATTCATTCAACCAAACACAGCTTCCCAGATAAGACTTCTACTAATTAATGTCAATTTAACCTAATATATATATATATATATATATATATATATATATATATATATATATATATATATATATATATATATATATATATATATATATATTGATGGGGTAAATTACAACCACCCTGAAGTATGGTAAAATTATTATTTGCATGATATATCATTGATATACCTAATTGGGCCGACCTAATGGGCCATAAATTATCTAATAAATAAGTCCGATACACGAAAGCCCAATCACTTACAATTGGGCCCAACAAAGTAAGCCCAACCCAATCAACGACATATAAATAGATGTTTTATTCATTTGTAAAGGTACGTTCTATTCATTCACAATTAAGCTAGAGTATTATTCTCTCTACCATATCCACTATCCGTATATCTGACTTGAGCGTCGGAAGGGTTTCCGCCGGATCAACCCCGGCTTAGTTCACGTGTGCTCATTCCGCAGGGACCTCAGGATCATTAAGTTGACAAGCTACTGATCCGCTTTGCTCTCCCAGCTCGTTTTCTACAATACCCCCCAAGTGATCTACATTTTAGCATCATCAATTATGTTGTTTTATGATCTCTATTTATCAGTGATGATTTATTATCTATTTTGTTTCAAGCCAACCACTGGCATTTTTTAAACATTAAAATTAATTTAATGTACATTATCATACCATACAAATACAATCAGTCAATCACATATTCACATGCTGTTATATTATTTATTAATATAGAAGAATCTTAACAAAACAAAAGATAATTGACCACGTGCATTAATTAAACTCTTAATTAATTTAGAAAAAAATTACTCCATATCAAGAAACCGCGTTACTCTTTTTCAATTTTCATTACTATATATCAACCAGAATAAATGGTGTTAGAATTTATTTCGTGCAGATATAAATTATTTGTGTCAGATTCAGTTTTTCGTTACTGTTGCGTGAAGTGTTGCAACAGTTCGTGAAGCAGTTCGTAAAAACAGAAATAAACGAGACACAAATTTTAATGTGGTTCGGATACAATTGTACCCTACATCCACGGGGACCTGCAAATAAAATTTACTAATTTTTAGTTTTACGAATACAATAATAGGACTTAATCAAAATACAAAGACTCCCTCTTTGTTGACGCCGTTCTTGTATACTACGCTGAATTATAAATCTTCAATTTGCATCACGTCCCTTGCTCCGCACGGTTGAACTCCCTTCAACGCTGAATCCCTCAGTCGGCGGATCGATCTCCTCCCGAGATCTGTTTAAGCCCCTCTCCCGAAGAACCGATCTTCTTTTTATATAGAAGAAGCAAACTTGTGATACTTCTTGAATCTTGGTGTCTTCACCACAAAGCCTTGAAGCCGATATATTTTCTATGAAAATCACGTATCACGATGAAACAATAAAAAACGAGAGGAAAAATATTTTCTGTGAAAAACTTCTCTCGATCAAAGACGTTCCGGGAGCAGCAAAGAAAAGAGAAATCTTTTTCTCTCAAAATAAAGGCACACATAGTAATGTGTCTTTCCTTCTCTTTTATAAGCCTGATAAAGAATCCTACAAAAGACCAACATCAAAATACGTATCAGGTTTATTAGGAATAAATCTTATCAAAAGATATTAAGTCCTAGTCAAGCACTAATTTCCAAAAGAATTTGTATTATATTGAAATACAAATTATGTATAAACCAAAATAGCTAATTTATGAAATAAATAAATAAATCAATTAATGATAATTTAGCAAACCAAAACTTGGAAAATAAATATATTCTTCCCTTTAATCATGATACACGGCTGTGTGTATTGTCAAAGAAGAACAACCTTCTTTCCAAGTCACATGGTATTAAGGAATCCCAATTTCTTAGAATTCTCCATGGTTTCTCTTAAGTAGAATCTAACTAGATTCTAACAATCTCCCCCTTTGTCATTTATTGATTATAATTAAGTCCTCCCCCTTAGTCAAATACATGGAAATAAAACAATTAGATGATAGACGAAAGCAATAAAACTAAGGATCATCCTCAGCATTAAAGAAACAGCCAACAACAAGAGTGGCATCAACTGCTGCAATAACAAGTGCCACAGTTTCAACAACTGTTCCAACAGTAGTGGCTTCGGCAGGTGGTTCACAACGGAGTCAGCTCCCCCTGCATGTGTATCTCCCTCTGTGAATGATCTTTAGGCAGCTCCTCTTGTAAATGCATTCATTCTTCCCCTTTGCTTACTCGGCTTGATAGACTTGGAAGGCGGTGGATGACAACGTGGTAAATTATCCACGTGATAAAAAACTCAGCAAATAACGTCTGCATTAGCACCCCCTTTTATATTCTTGTGAAGACCTAAACAAATTAATGACAATAAACATCTCCATAGGTTTCCACTTGGTGTTGTGGACTTAGAATCCCACCGAGATTCTAACACTCTCCCCCTTTGGCATTGATTGGTCAGAACATTTACTCCTCCTAAATATATGATACATGCATGAACAAGGGTTAGCAAATTCAGAATAACATCTGCACATATAAACTGTTGCAACAGTTTATCAAACAGTTTAAGCTCTTAGCAAAAACAGCTTAGGAAAGCATATAGGTAAAATTGTTCAATTAAGCAGGGAACAACAAAAAAAATGCAGTAGCAGAATTAACTTCCCTTTACAATGAATTCCTCCTTAAATGACCTCCTCCTTGAATGACCTCCTATTTTTTTTTATTGTTCCAAAAACTGTCGGATGAACTGTCTCAACAGTTGTCTGAACTCCCCATGTATTCCAGTACTGTTCCAGCAATTGTTTAGTGCACGGTGGCAACAGTTGTTTGAACTCCCCCTGTGTTCATACCAACTTTACTGTTCTTTTTCTTTTCTCCCCCTTTCTGGGCAATCACGATGCATAGATAAATTAACATGGACTAATGATCTTGATGTGTCGAGCAATCTGTTCAAACACTTAACAAAAAGATCAAACGAAGAGAGAATTTTGAAAGTAAGTAAGAAGAATCACCATACATGACGTGCACACAAAATCACAAACTCACAAACTCAATACCACACGATAATTGAAAGGCGAAAATCAATAGGATAGTGATATCAAATCCAGCATTAAATAACAAAGGCTACAAACTTTGCCAAACTTCATACGAAACGTGGAAATGTGAGTAGTAGGCCCAAAAGATCCGGTTGCAACAAAAATCAAATTTAACCGGCACATAAACAAAAATCCCGTCTCTCTCTCTCCTTTTTTTTTTTTTTTTTTAAATTTAAATAACTAAATGCCTAATCATGCAAAGTCAAATAACTAGGACAAAAAGAATAAACGTGAGAAGGAAAAAAATATGAGTGAATAAACACAAGTGAATAGGATACTATTAGGACTATCAAAAACATGGGGTTTATCTTCAATTTTAACAAAAAGCAAGCTCCAAGAGATAGACTAAAGAGACTAACAGTAACCTTAGTATCCTCAAATCAAGCACAAAAACACTCTTATTAGGTAGCATACAAACACTACCAATGGTAGCTTTTTCATGAAGAGCAGAGCAATTAAGATAGCGAGATAGTTATGGTCGTGCAATGTGTAGTCCCCTGGGCTTTCTAATTGAGTCGTGTAGTGAGTGTTCGGTCATGTGGTTTACCGGCTCGACTCAAAAAGGCTTCGAACTATTCACTGACCACATATAAAATTTATAATGGTCGTGCAATGTGTAGTCCCTTGGGCTTTCTAATTGAGCCCTGTAGCGAGCTTTCGGCCACGTGATTTACTGACTCAACTCAAAAAGGCTTCGAACTATTCACAGACCAATTGATTGACATTATATATATAGAATTTACGAAAATTCAAGAGTAGCTTTCACTCATTTGGAGCGGCAGCTTTTCCTTATGAGAGTGTTCAACCATGACAAGACTGTGAAGGGTAGTAAACAAGCTAAAGCCTCTGTAGCTATCATTTGGGGATTGATGAAGTTCTACCTCACAAAATTCGAAAGTACAAATAGTATCCAATACACGAGGGGTCTCATCACATGCAGTATGTCTAATGCATAACCTAGATGAACAAAATGCAGTATGCGTGATGTGTCCAAAAATCTTTAAAAGTTGCAAGTCTGGACACAGACTGTTGCAACAGTTTATGCAACTGCACAGGTCAGACAATACAAATTCCAAGCGAATTTCGCAAGGAATCAAACCTTTGTGCATCTAGGGGTTTAGTAAAGATGTCAGCAAGTTGTTTCTCCGTTGTGACATACTCTAATGAGACAGTTCCTTCCTCTACCAGATTTCTAATGAAATGGTAGCGAATTTCAATATGCTTAGTTCGAGAGTGCTGTACTGGATTCTTGGAAATGTTAATTGCACTCATATTGTCACAATAAATATGCAATAAATCTTGACTAATACCATAATCACATACCATTTGTTTCATCCATAAGAGTTGAGTACAGCAGCTACCTGCAGCGATATATTCGGATTCGGCAGTGGAAAGTGAGATGCTATTCTGCTTTTTGTTGTACCAAGAGACGAGATTATTCCCAAGATAGAAACATCCTCCCGTCGTGCTTTTTCGATCGTCTGCATCACCTGCCCAATCAGCATCGCTAAAACCTGCAAGTGTTGTGTTAGTATCCATGGAATACCAAATACCGAAATCAGTGGTTCCACTTACATAGCGAATGATTCGTTTGACAGCACTTAGGTGACATTCCTTGGGGTTTGATT